TTAATCGTTTGCAACCTCGCATGTAGGGGTCCATGGTGGGACCCCGCGGGGGATAACATACCTGGGAATAAAAAAGTTCGGACCCTGGGGGGGGGGGCGGAAGGAGGAGAAAGAGAAGGAAGAGAAGGAAAAGGAAAAGAAGGAAGAGAAGGCAAAGCATTTTTGAAGCTGTTGCTAGTCAACATGAGATGATAGCAACTTCGATTCGCGACTTTCCCCGTGGATTGGAAAGTTCGGCCTCCGCGCCCCTCTCGACAATTAAATCCTATTGGACGGGGATAAAGAATAAGAGGGGGAAAGGGGGGGGGGGTACATTATCATCGCCCGTGCTCGGTTATTGCCTGCTGCGCGCAGGGCCAGCATGCAACATGCACTTCGAGGCAACATCTGGATGATCCGCGGGCACCCCGCGATCACTGTGCACTGGCTTTTGACTGGGACGGTGGAGCTGCTGTCATATGGCCTGCTATGTGCAGGCCCACCAGGCGCTATGATGGCCACCCCGCCGCGATTGCGGACTGGTTTTGGACAAGGGTGGTGGGGGCCGACGCGTTTTCTCATGTGTACTGCCACGTGCGAAGGCGCATCTGGCACACTCTGCGCTGCGCGTGCCACGAATGTGGCGCACCTGGTGCGGCTGGAGCGTGCGGCACACATGGCGCACGTGGATCACGTGGCGCATCTGACACACCAGGCGTGCCTGGCACGCTTGGACCTGAGGGGTGCCTCGCGCACCTGGCGCGCGTGGCGAATCTGGCGCACCTCGCCCCAGCGTTGCGCACATGGGGTCTGCTTTGGTTCCCAGCAGCTGTCCATCCGAAGACTACCACCGAACACGCTGCGGCTCGGGTGCTACTTATGTGTTGGGAGGGCAGGTGGGAGTGAGCGAGACGGCTTGCGGGCGGGGATGCTGTCTTGACCCCTCCCCCTATCCCCCCCCCGCCCCTGGGAGGTTCTGCGAGACGCTGGCGCATCCAAGATGGCCTCGGCGAGAAGGCCAAAACCATTGACTCCCCAATCAGAGCTTGCCTCTGTAAGGTCTGTAGGGGTTCTAGCGGATTCGCATGGTTTGGTGAAGTGTCACCGATTTCCGCGGCCCGCCCGTGTGCCCTGGTGCCCGGGTGCCCGGGTGCCTGGGTGCCCGGGTGCCCTATAGTCCTAAAGCCATATAGCCCTACAGCCCTATAGCCCTATAGCCCTGTAGCCCTATAGTCCTACAGCCCTATAGCCCTACAGCCCTATAGCCCGATAGCCCCATAGCCCTATAGCTCTATATGCCTTTAGCTCTATAGCCCTATAGCCCCATATTCCTATATCCCTATAGCCCTATGGCCCTATAGCCCCGTAGCCCTATAGACTCATAGCCCTATGGCCCCATGGCCCAACAGCCCCGTAGTCCCAGAGCCCCATAGCCCAACAGCCCTGTAGCCCTATAGCCCAATGTATGTATAGCCCTATAGTCCTATAGCACATAACCCTATAGCCCCATAGCCCTATCGCCCTAAAAAGACTTTGCTTGGGTTCCGTTCCCTGGTATCATTTTACCAAAGTTTTGGCAACATGTGGCCTCCTGAGGGGGACACTGAGAATTTCCCTCCTTTGATCGATCTCCTCCAAAAATGGCCCAAAAATGGCCCCCCAAGGCTCCAAAGGGTGCCCCTAGACGGCCCCGCAGATGCCTCCAAGATGCTCCCAAGAGGCTCCCACGAGAACTCCAAGACGCCCCAAGATGCCCACCAGAGGCACCCAAGACGCTCCAAGAGGCCTCGGCGAAAAGGCGAATACTACTGATTGTACTAAGGAGTTGGCCACGTTTTAGCCTTCTGGGGGGGGGGGGGGGGCGATTAAGGAGACCCTCTACTTTTATCGATCTCTTTTCAGATGGCCCCAAGATGGCCCCCAAGGCTCCCAAGGGTGCCCCAAGCTGGCCCCAAGAGGTGCCCTGGAGGCCCCAAGATGCCCCCAAGAGGCCCCCGAGAGGCTCCCAAGAGACCCCCGAACCGCTCCAAGAGGCCCCCCAGAGGCACCCAAGACGCCCCAAGAGGCCTCGGCGAGAAGGCCCAAATCATTGAGTTTGCCAAGGTTTTGGCCACATGTTGGCCTTCTGGGTAGGGGTGGGTGGGCCTAAATGGAACCTACCCCCTCCTTTTATCGATCCCCGGGGCTGCCAAGAGACCCCCAAGACGCGCAAAGAGGCCTTCCAGAAGCTCTCGAAAGACATCCGCAGAGACTCCGAGAGGCATCCAACATGCCTCTGGCCTTTCTGCTTGCCCTCCTCCTCCTCCTCCTCCTCCTCCTCCTCCTCCATCTCCTCTTCCTCATCCGCCTACTCCTTCTCCTCCTTCCTCCTCCTCCCCCTCTCCCTCCCCCTCCTCCGATTCCTCCTCCATCCCCTCCTGCATGCTCCTCCACAGCTATGATCAAGGCAACTCGTCGGGGCGTCGTTTCTGGAGCGAAGCGTCTAGAATTGGATGAACGGCTGCTGTGTTTGCAACTCTCCGACAATATATACGAGCTCGGGTACTTTGGGTGTTGAGCTGGGCGCGGCGTTCGACCTGGGGTGCCCATGTGCACCAGGGCACCCAAGTTTAGGCCCGAGAATCTCCGAAAACTACCCACGGAGATTGCAAGGGCTCTCCAGGCGTTCCAAGACGCATCCAAACTGCCCCGAAAGTACCACGAGATCTTTCTGCTGAACTTCTGCCAACATTAACAGCAGCCGAAAGCATTAATCAGCAGCGGCATGCAACAGCCAGCCACATGAGCGAGCACCACCGTCACCGACCATGACCAAACAGCAACTATATACTTATATGTATATATCTCTCTCTCTATATATATATATATATATATATATACATAGCCGCCGCCAGCAACACATCAGCAACAACCAGCAGCTCTCCATACCGACCAGCAGCAGCAGCAGCAATAGCCAGCAACCAGCCCCGAGCAGCAGGGAGTGAGTCCGATCGAGGGATGCATATATTATATATCCTATACGACCACCCTTCTGGTGATAAGGAGGTTGTGGGGGGGCAGAGGGGGGAACCAACATGTGACTCAATCGATCTGACCATCGATCTCACTCAACGGGACACCATGGGTCACCACGGGACACTTGTCGATCGCACTATCGATCTCACTATCGATCTCACTCATCCGGACACCACGGGACACCACGGGCCACCAAGGGACCCCACGGGACACCGCGGACACCTCTCGATCTCACTATCAGTCTCACTATCAATCTCACTATCGATCTCACGTAACGGGACACCACGGCACGGGACACCACGGGGCACCACGGGACACCACATCGATCTCACTATCGATCTCACTCAATGGGACACCACGGGACACCACGGGACACCTGTCGATCTCACCATCGATCTCACTATCGATCTCACTTTTTTGGACACCACGGGACACCTCGGGGCACCACATCGATTTCAATATCGATCTCAATATCGATCTCACTCAACGTGAGCCCACGGGACACCACGGGACACCTGTCGTTCTCACTATCGATCTCACTTTTTGGGACACCACGGGACACCTCGGGGCACCACATCGATCTCAGTATCAATCTCAGTATCGATCTCAGTATCGATCTCAATATCGATCTCACTCAGCGGGACACCACGGGACACCACGGGACACCGCGGGACACCGCGAGCCACCGCCAGACGGACGGACGGACGGGCGGGCGGGGGAGAATCATTTGTCTTGACTTCGCCCTAGCAACGGCGAACACCACGGGACACCACGGGGCACCACGGGACACCGCTAATTAGGGCCACCGCCGGACGGACGGACGGACGGACGGACGGGGGAGCAACATTGTCTTGACTTCGTCCTAGCAACGCGCCCACGCAGCTTCGCCTCGCCCGCACGCACGACACGAACGAAACGAAACGATTTCCCAGTTTGGGGGTCTCTATTCCACTGCGATCTCCCCCCCGAACCTCCGATACATATACATGTATATGTATACAAACATACATGTATCTATACTATACGTAAGTATATCAAACATACGTATAAATATTATACGGTAAGAGAGAGGGGTCTATATATATAGAGAGAGAGAGAGAAAACAAAGAAAGAGAGAGAGAGAGAACGAAAGAAAGAGAGAGAGAGAGAGAAAGAAAGAACAACAAACAATACATAGTGAACATGCTCAGGATACGTGGACACACAAAGAAGAGACAGGGCTCTGTGTCTGGACACCCCTTGGGACTTTGCGCCCACTTCTGTCTCCGCTCTGGTTGCAGCAGTTGTTGTGCGTTTTATTATCGGAATCATCTGAACGGCCCAGGGCTTAGAGGACGCGGGCCATGGTCCGAATCAAAATCATATCATACAAACCATCAAAAGGAACTATTTCGTTACTGTGCGTGCGCAAAATCAATTTCAAACACAATGCGGGAAACAATTCAATCATGAATATGCGCGCAGCAGCACATTGCGGAAACAATGTGGTTGTGACTTCAATATAGTTGGGCGACTTGTGGACGTGACTGGGGGGACTGGGAGGAGGGAAGGGGAAGGAGGGGGGGATGGGGGGCTAAGAACAGGAGAGGGCTTCGCCCACATGTGACACGCTCGTCAGCCAGGGGGTCCCGGGGATCCTCCAAGGCACTCTTTCGAGACTGACTGAGCCGCGGAAGAGAATTGGGGCGATGGCCCCTCAAGGCCAACCAACAACTGTAAGATCGCTTATCGGGCCGGGAGAAAGGGGGGGATAGCAAAGGGGGGGTTTGAGAATCAGCTCACGCAGCTGGTTTTCCCGGCGCCTCCCGGCGCCGGAGGCGACTGTATATCGAGGAATGGGCCCCTCGGAGAAGCCGAAACCAGCTGCATGCAGCAAATTTCGTAACCCCCCCTTTCCCAATCCCCCCCTTTCGTCCGGCCCGAGCTTGGCGCGTGCGAAGACATTTCGCGCTGAACGATCGTCAATTCGGGGCTCAACCCAGGTCCACTTCGAACTCCGCGCCCGCCTCCTGCTTGCTGGTGTACAACCGGACGACCTGCTTCCTGCACAGCGCGGAGGCGGTGGTGCGGCAGAGAGCCCACCGTTGGGACGCCTTCCCCCCCCCCCCCTCCCCTGCCCCTGCCTTCTGGACGCACAAACGCGCACAACCACACACACACACACCACACACACACACACAACCAACACACAACCAACACACAACCAACACACAACCA